AAATTTTGAAAATAGGTTAGAATTAATATTCTTTTTTTCAAATATAATTCTAATTAATTCTACCTTTCTTTTAAAAATGTTATTCTAAACCCCTCAATTAATTTTGCCTAAATTCAATTAATTCACGACTGAATTAATATCTTTATTCGAAATTAATTATCCTTTTTCTGAAGTGCCGACATTTTCCTTTGAAAAATTCTTGCCAAATATTTTACAAATTTCCTCTTCCTAATTCTTTTCAGAATTATTATTATTATTATTATTTTATTTTTTTTTCCCCATAATTCGAAAATATTTTCTTTCGAAATTTCACGTTTTCTTGTAAATAAATTTAAATCTAAATGAGAATTTATTTTTTCAAAATTTATCTCTTTTTGTTCAGCGTTTATTTTATTTTATTTTTATTTATTTATTTATTTTTATTTTTTTGAAAAAAAAACTTGGCGATTATTTTTATTTTTGAATTTATTGATAAATAAATAAGGGATTCCCCCCCCACCCTCCACATGCCACCACGCCGAACCAAGAACTCCCAACGTGCCGCCGCCGACGTCGCCGCTGCTGCTGCCGCCACCGCTGCTGCGGCATCCTCCACACCCGTTCAGGCCACGTCCTCCACCCCCTCTTCCCCTGACATGGCCGCATCCTCCATCAACATGTCTGACATCCGCACCGACTCAGTTGATAGCATCGCCCGCAACCTCGCAAGCGAACAACCACCAGCAAACACCRCCACCCTTGACCTCTCCGCCATCCTCCACGTACTCAACACCCTTCGAACCTCTGTCACGGCCTCTCTCGACGACATAAAGGCCAACATATCGTCCATATGCGACCGCGTCACCACGATCGAAGGGACCATCCCCTCCATCACGGTCGTCACCACCGCGCAAACCACTCCCTCCTCCATAGCGCAAACCACTCCAACCTCCACAATGCAAACCACTCCCTCCTCCACAGCCGCCTCCAGCAACACCCCCCCACCGACCTCCTCCACTCCTACCACCTCTACCACCACATCCATCAACCCTTCAACCTCCACCATCGTCCCGTTCCCTCCACCTCCTCCCTCATCCGGCGCATCCAGCACACCGCCTCATTCCTCGCCCATCCATGTCACCCCTCTTCCCCCCCCGCACTCCCAAACCCTCTCCCAACTCATCATGACCACCTCCACCATCCCCACCATCCGTCCCACGTATTCCCAAGCCACCTCGGGGGTTTGCCCCGCAATGCCACAACTCCCCCCCAACCACATCCTTGAGGACAACAACCAAATCGACCACACCTGCTACGACACCACCCCCGATAACCTCAGCTTCAACACCCTCTCGCAGATCGTTCACCGCGACGGGGAAATCCCCCGTTCCTTCCGATCCGGCGAAATCATGTCCTTCTCCGGCCTCCCCCACGAGGACGTTTTCCAGCTCCAGAACTCTTTTCACCTCCACCACATGCCCCTTGCCCACTGGCTCCCCATTGCCACCTCCCGCCTCCTYGGCAATGCCGCCAAATGGTGGATGGCTGAAGTCAGCAACCGCCGAGCCTCTGGAGGACCATGTCACTCCTTCCTCCAATGGGCCAAACTTCTCGCTGCCACCTTCCGCCCCCAGAAAACCATTGACGACTACCTCGAACAATTCTGCCACTTACGCCAAACCGGTCCCACAGACCGCTTCGTCCAATACATCCGCTCCCTCCGCCATCACCTCCCCACCACCGTCATTCCTGACTTTGCGTTCATCTCCCGCATCAAGCGACTATGCCACAAAGATCTTGCCACCGCCCTCGCCCACGAACCCGACATGCCCCTTGCTGACCTCCTCTCTCACATGCTTCACCACAGTCGACTCCTCCACCCCCATCACCAGTCCGCGCCCGCTCCCTCCCGCCCCCTCTTTTTCCATAACGACACCACTCAACCCACCTCCGATGACGACTTCGACACTGCCTCTCTCGACCCCTCCCAATTCACCATCGAGGACCTCCAAACCGCCCACCTTATACGGATGGAACGCCAGGATCGTGCCTCTCGACCGCCTTCTTCCTCTCCACCCCGCCGCCTCGAGAAACTCACACCCGCAGAACGCGTATACCTCCAGGAACACAACGGGTGTTTTCGTTGCCGCCAGTTAGGTTATCAACAGACCAACTGCCCCAACGCTAGCCACTTTACTCGACAGGCCCCTTGCTCCACGGGACCCGGCCCTTCTACTCCCACTCCTCCCTCCACCTGAATACTGTCCACCCAGTCTTCCATGTCGAGTACCTAAATGAATACCATGAATCCCCGCTCCAGTTCGCCGACCGCCTATATCCCAAACCTCCACCAATCATGCTACCCACAGACCTTGAATTCGTTGTCGAAACCATCATCGGCCGACGAAACACTCAGGTATCTGATCATCCGGAACCAATCACTGAATACAAAGTCAAATGGAC